CAGGTAAATGAACCATATATATATCATATATAATCTGAAGGTTATATGATGTGGGAAATCTGGTCATTTGGTAAATAATTATTTAAAAAAGCAAAGAAAGCAAAAGTTAGTCGAAACACAGCTTCTAAAGAAAATATTTAATTGTCAACTCTATCTTTCATAAAAGGTGATCTAACCACACAATGTAAGGCCTAGATTGTTTTACATTGATTTCATAATAGTCGACTTTATTCCATATTAAGAATTAAATCACTGCAAAAAATAATTTATGGAGACAACTTCATGTTTAATCAGTGTAATGCATTATATATTAATGTTATTATATCTTTTTAATAATGATGTCAAAAAGCTAAGAGTAGATTTTTAAAGGTTAATAAACACTTTAAACAACTCAATCTGCAGTAAGTCAGAAGACTATTATTTAGGCTTATAGTATACTATTATTACCACTACCACTACCACTACTACTACTAATAATAATAATAATTATTATTATTATAGCCTAATAATAATACTAATAAATATCGCCTCAAAAATGCAAGTTTGACAGCTTGCCGAATCTTGACGAATGTCACACATACACAAACATGTTGGCCATTCCTAGGCCCACCTAACAAACACACTGTAGCAGTCATTGTGTGGGTGGGCAATTATTCTTTATTTTTCCTGCAATCATAATTGCGTCCTATTCTTAAATCTAAGTGAAATTTCCATTTAAATAAAATTTAAGAATAATAATAATAAATAATAATAAAATTTTAGATTTTAAAGCTCATTATCCATTTCGTTCGTTGTCTTTTCTTGAGGCTGTTCCTTTCTGTCTGAGTTTTTGTGGACTTAAACAGGTTTACACGCAACTAGAATAGGCCTACTGTTTTGTATAATGTGGCATTTCTATAATTTTCTTTTCAAAATAAAACACTGCAATTCTGATTAGGCTGACTAAACTACAACAGAAAATGTAGGCTATATATTTTATAACAAAACATTTTATAAATTCTTTAAATAACAAACTAATTAGGCCTATATTTGAAAGTTATAACTAATTTGAGTAATTGGGATAAATTATTATTTTTTCATGGTAGGCTATTTCAAGGGCCAAAAACACTCAGTTAACATTTTAAACAAAATAAATGTTTTTAAGTTAAATAAAAATGTAAGAGGTGAAATTCATCCAGATTTGTGTAGCAGCCCTGTGATACCTGAAAAAAAGGCGATACCTTTTCACAATTTCCTTATAATTGTGGCCTGTTAGGCCTCCAGCCTGTATCGTACACTCTCACGATGTCACGTTTGGTTTGGTCAAATTTTTTATTCCATTGTCATTTCTGATTGGCTCTGGACACAATACGATCATTTTTATCAAGCAATTAATCAAACCACTAACTACTGTGCAGTTACGTTTGTTGAATGACAAAAAACAGCTGATTATCGTTTATCGATCTGTGAAAGATTTCCTGCAAACGTCATTTAAATGTTATTTTCTTTTTTAAAAATCCTAAAAGTTAGGCCTCTCTGCGTTTTCATACGGCCTCTGCTCTTTGAAAGTCTCGGTCAATCCTTAATACATTTTGCTTTTCGACCACTAAACAGATCTCATTTTCTTTCCTTAGTTCCTTACAAGTTTTTCTCGGACCCCTCTGGCCTGAACGAGAAGCGGAAGCAGCGGCGCATCAGGACCACCTTCACCAGCTCCCAGTTGAAGGAGCTGGAGCGGGTCTTTGCCGAGACACACTACCCGGATATCTACACCCGAGAGGAGCTGGCTCTGAAGATAGACCTGACCGAGGCCAGGGTACAGGTGAGAGGAACACGCTCTTATTCTTCTGCCTTTTTATGTTTTATTCCTAACATTTTCATTTTGGGAAAGCACACTGTCTGAATCAGTGTCAACCTCTGAAAATCAGAATATGAGATATAATTTATCTGCAATCTCACAGTTTAGGACCATCTATCTATATGTATCTATGTATCTATCTTTGATCAAATATTAATTGTACCTCTGTCTGTGTTTAACAGGTGTGGTTTCAGAACAGGCGTGCCAAGTTTCGTAAACAGGAACGTGCAGCCAACGCCAAAGCCAACAACTCTGGTGGCAACACGGGCAGCACCTCGAGCAGCAGCTCTGGAGGGAAGAAGGGCGGAGAGCCGAGATCTTCATCAGATGATGATGAGTCCAAAGAATCCACCTGCAGCCCCACACCTGACAGCACGGCTTCCCTGCCGGGCTCGGCCAATGGAAACTTGGGCAGCCCTGCCAGCCTGAGCCCCAGCCCGGCTCCTGCCAACAGCGGCTATACCAACACCTCCAGCTCTCCAATCCTCCAGGGGCTGAAGCCGCCCAGCTGGTCCAGCCTGGGGCCGTCCAACCCAGCCGTGGCTCAGCCTGCTGCCCAGACTCAGGAGATTCTGAAGGCCTGGCAGCCGGCGGACAGTATGACCGGGCCCTTTGCCGGAGTCCTGTCCTCCTTCCACAGAAAACCCAATCCCACCCTCAAGACAAACCTGTTCTGAAGCACAGAGGAAGAGAAAAAGAGAAACAGACATTATGTGGTCTACTGGAACAGTGAGGAGTTTCTAGCTTTTGATGAGAGAGTCAGGACTTCCCCATTATAACGCTGAATTCACTGGTGTACTCGGCTGTGGTTCAGTGAGGCCCTCGGTTCTTCTCAAAAAAACTATCCTGTCAAACTGATTCATAACTCAGACAATAAAGTCAAAAGTCTGGTCACCATCTTTCTCCCTAAAATATTATGCAACTGTGCACATTATACCTGCAAAACTCCACCTGCACATGGACAGGTTCCCTCCTGCAATGACTTAAACTTTTCACCCTCATCCTCAAATTAGAGCTGCTCGTACAGTTCGACCAGAAATCACTTCCTCAGATAAAACTAGAAGACACAGTGTTGTCACCTCTATTTAATGATGTAAAACTCTTCATGTACAGGTCCTTAAACTGTCACCTGACTAAAACCTTCACAGTGTCAAAAGAACATTTGTGTGTCCAGCCCAATTTCATGTGAAATGTCTTTGACTCATACACACATCTTTTAAACACACTCTCTGCCCTTCTGTCCTGCCTTTCTTGCACACTCACATTCCCACACTCACTGCATTGCATCACGCCCTGTTGAACACTTGGACAGCCACAGCAGCGTGCTATGCTCTGATGAGCATGGGGGTCAGGTACAGGTTTAAAGCAGAAATCTAAACATCACACTCCGGTCTCTGCTGAAGAAACAAAACAAACAAACTTTTACCCTCAAGCACAACTTCCTCTAAGCCCCCTGACACACAGACATCCCACCAGAAGGAACAGGGTCCCCCTAAATCTCTTTGCCGAGCAAAACGGGGCGACCCAAAATCCAATTAGAGCAGCCGGGTCCAGACAAGACACCTCCCCAGTTCAATTCATCCCCTCCTTCTTCTTTACTGTATCAAATCCTGACTCCCCCACTCGCATTCTCATTGTGACCCCTCCCCAAGGCTTTTTGGTCCCATCATGCCTTTCTCTGTCAAACAGTGGGCACTTTGTTAAAACTCAGCAAGGGAAAGAGATGGAGAACTTGTCTCTGTTTTCAGTTCACATTTACTGCAGTTTCCTGCCCTGTTGTACAGGTGGAGAAAGGTGAAGATCTGTAGTTATACACAGGGTGTAGCCTAAAAATCTGTCAGTCTAATTACAATTCAAGTGTAGAGTTGGTATCATTGTACTACAACTCGTTTCTCATGTCATCACAGACTGAAGAGTTTTTTGATTCTCCTGCTGGATTGATGGGAATGAATGAGTCTGTTCTGCAGGCAGTGCTTCAGTCTGTGAAGCGGACTTACAACTCATCACCCACTCTGACTCCTTCATCACTTTTTCAGCCCAGTTTCATTAGCCCTCCTGCAGCCGACAAATATGGGACAATCTTTCTCAGAAACATGACACAAGCCAGTCTAATGCTGGCAATATACAGAGAAAAAGAGTTTTCTAATATCCTGGTTTTTGTCTACCCTCATTTTTTTTTTTTTTTTTTTTTTTTGCAAAAAAGGCAAAAAAAAGCAGCCGTTTCTACTTTCTTTCACGTTGCAAAGTTGCTTGTGAATCATCTAGATTTCATTTTGTTGCAAATCACTGAAACAACACTGATTTAAGAGCTGTTTTTCTTTTGGGAGGGTTTACTCTAGAAGGGAAAAAAACATGTATTTATTAATATTTTTTATTATATCTGTGAGAAACCCACATATTTCTTTCAACTGCTCCATAAAATTGTGTGACTGTAAATTCTGTAATTAGTAATATAAATATTAGGTAGCCCTTTGTTTATTTCCCTGACGTTGCTTTACAGATTTATTTCATTGCAGAGTATCTGTCTCACAGACCAACATGTCCATGAAAACTATGAATCGACAGATGCTCTAGTGAATGAGAAGTTATAGCACTACTCTGAATATTCTAATAAATCTACATTATGGAAACACTACCTGATGTGTTTAAAGATTTGGTTTCTTGTGTGCGACAAAGTGATGGGAGTGTTGTGTGTCATGTGCAAAGTCACAAAGCTGTTTTCACTAACTCTGAGGTACAGTATGAGCTCCTGAAAGCATGGTTAAATAAAAACATGAGTGACTTTCATTTTACCATACACACTCTCTCTTTCCCTTACTGAGGCAGCTCTACAGCTCACAGACCATAACTGTTTCATCCTGTCAGCTTTCCCTGCAGACAACAAAAAAAAAGAAAATAAGTGAATTTATAAAATAAGGAAAGACATTAAATTTTAATTGAAAAAAAAAAAATGACATGGGTGAACAACTTACATTAACTTAACACGACCAAAAGAGGAGACTACATGAAGGACAAAGATAAACTGGAGTGTGTCAGAGAAAACAACCGCAATTCTATTTCACTCAAGCAGACAAATACAAACACGCACACACACACACACACACACACACAACACACACACACACACACACACACACACACACACACACACACACAAACACACACACACACACCACTGAGAACACTGAAAGGTCAAAAAGGCTTAAAAAAAAAACAAAGACATAAGATTTAACAGGTCTGAACGGCAGATCCACATTCTCTGCATTATGGTTTTTTGGCTGTTAGAAGATTAGACACACTATACATATAAAACACAGGCAAGTAGTTGCGTCTAAAGGTGTGTGTGTGTGAGCAACATAATTCAAGGGTGTACAAATGAAATTGCTACAATAACATCCTTAAGATTTCAATTATGCAACAGCACGTTCACTCACAGTTTAGAGTTCTACTTTCGACGTCTTCTCACAGTGAGCTGTTGACATGGCAGAATGATTTTTAGTTGTGAGCTTAAATGAAGGAGAAATATTTGGTACGATCCACTTTGATAAAACAGAAGTATCAGGTATCAGCATCAGGTCTTTTAATACGAAAATAAACTGGCTTTTCGGTTAGGCTTCTGGCCTCATAGGCAGAAGAGGAGGCAGGATTTAAATTAAGACAGAATAAAGGCAGAGTGAACATTAACAGGTAAGTTATCTCTCAGATTTCTAACGTCTTAAGAACGACATATAAAAAACCTTGACTTGAACCGTGAAGAATGACTCATTTCACTGAACATGACTTGATTGTCTTATGTTCCCAAAGGTTTCCACAGTCAGCATCTACTGATGATGTTTATGGAGTAACAGCACCACCTGCTGGGTACTTGGGGAACACGCGCCCTCATACCATCTGTGAACGTTGTTTCTCTGTTTTTAACATATTACGAGAGGCGACATCCTCTTCCATGTGTACAAATTATCCCCGTCTGTGGTAATTTTACAAACGAGCCAAATAAAATCGGCAAAACAAGAACTATCTCTACACTATATGAAATGTATGTTGAATGTTTTGATGACAAATGGTTTCTCAGACAATGATAACATGATGGCTTAGTGAATCTTCAGTAAAAGAACAGCGAGTTCTGTTTGGCTATGTTAACCAGTTCCCTGAACACTGCTCTATTTACACAGCTCGTTGAACCTGGGTCATATGCCGCTAAAATGGGATTTGTCTTTCTCTGCAAATTGAAATTTAATGTCCTGACAGACAATGACGGTGTAATTATGAGATAAGCACCGGGTGAAATATTTCAAGTGATATTTCACTTAGGTGCAGAACTTATAACCTCAAGTATACTTGTGATTTTATTGCTTTATCTACTTCATTTTTCAACCAGACTGTGCCAAGAAACAGTATGCTGCATGTGTCACTTGTCCACTTCTGAAAACAAATTAACTTCTAACAATGTAACCAATTTGCCACAGTCTGTAAGTGTCAGAAAAAAGCTCAAATGTCAGTGTTGAGTGTGTGCAAATCACACACCAGGGGGCAGGTGGTGTCAAAAGCTGACGACTAATAGTCATTTAAATGTTGTAACAAAGTGAATTTAGCTCTAATGTGTTTGGTTGGTTTGCTCCATATTCCCTTTATCATTAAAAAAAAGTAAAACCATAAATATATATAGAGACACTGAGACAATAAATGCCACCACTTCAATAACAGTGGCACAGACATTGTCACAAAAGTACAACATCTGAAAAATGTAAGTTGAGCTCACTTTAGCCTGACATGCCTCAGGACTAGCTTCTCTCCTGTCACCACTTCCTGTCCGCCTCCGTCACAGAAGTGGGGCGGGTTGAAATTACTCTTGAGTGCTCTCTAACAATTCCAACAGTTTCCCCAATTGTAGGCATTAATGGGGAAAAACCAGAGACTCTGAGAAAAACAGTGTTGTTAAAAGAGTCTGAACTGAGGGCACCAAACACAAGCAGCGTGTTTTTCGGACAAAACCCTTCTTCTCATTTCACTTTAAACCTTAAAGTCTGAAAGAGATTTCCAATTTTCAGGAAACTCTGTCACTCTTCGGTTACAGTTTCTCAGGACAACAAAAGAAAAACAAGCTCTAATTCTAGCTTGAAGCTACACGTCAAAACTGATGATGTGACATCAACACATCACCAGCTCCACATGTGAGTTGTATCTCCAGTTCTGTCTAACCAGAAAAAAAAATATTATCTCATCCTGAATCTTCTCACTAGGGTTAAAGCTGAGGGTTAGGTAGTGATGCTTGAAGGGCTGAAATGATTATCATTAAATAAGGCCACCTCTACGACGATGACAACACACATACAGTACATGTGAAAAAGGACGTTGGTTCAACAAGTGTTTTTGAAAGTACAAATGGAGTGCAATTTCTCTCAGAAGGCACAGTCTGGCATCAATTGGCAAGTTCCAGCTCAGTTCAGTTCAGCTGAGATTTGGCCTCTTGGGACCTGGTGTGGTTCCAGGCCAGTTTGGACCAGTCATGGACCAGTTTGGTACAGTTTATTTCTGTTGCTGCTGCCTGAGGCTCTCCAGCAGGATTCGCTTGTGGGCAGGGTCGAGCACTCCCGCCTCCTCCAGGTCCTCCTCTGTGATGTCGCTGGAAAAACAATACAAGATATGAGAAACAGAACAGAAGTGACAAGGTTTTCATACAGCACGTATAGATCAGAATAACTACTTTCCCTGGAGCAGTGAACAGAACTATAATCTTTATAAACATTAGTGATAAACATGCTTCAGTCAGACAGATGACAGTACAGTGCAGACACAGTACACTGATCTGTGCGCTATAATTAATTAAAAATAATTATTTACTTCAAAGAATAACAGTATAGATTTGCTTTTTAATCCCACACAGACTTTGGGCCTTACTTTCACACTATATCACTACCTCAACTCTTTTATTTTCACCCACTAATGCATGCAAGACAGCATGAATGTCAACATATCTGAGTGTATGTGTGTTTGTACCTGAGGAACTCCAGGTCATCCCAGCCGTTGTGTAGAAGACCCTGCTCATACCTCTCAAGTCCCAGTCTCTGCAGCCATTCGCCCACTGAAGATTCCCCAACAGACAAAGAGGAACTACTGCTGCCCCAAAGTGCCTGCACAGGAGAAATGTAAAGCAGGATCAACCAAAAAAACTGTGGTAGGAACAATTACTGCTGCCGCAGAATGCATGTAAGATAATAAAAGATACAAAGATACAATATGCTAGCTGCTTTGGCTTGATTTTTGTCCCCCCCATGAAGAAAACACTAAAACTAAAATAGTTTAAGCTTTTGTGTTTTAGAAAACGTAATATAAAAACTGGGATGGCCTGAGAGAAACTGCTAACCGTGTCTGCTAACTGTACACTACTGAGAATAAGCTAAATCCTAAAGTGTACATTGCAAACTTTAATGAACCACCCACCTCCTCAGGCATGTCCTCTGCAATACTCTCTGTGATGGGATTTCTGGGTGGGAAGGTGCGGCAGGCGTCCAGACCTAAACCCATGGACTGCCCCCTCAGAGGCGGTGGTGCTGAGGGAGTGCGTGGCGGCTGTCCAGGAAACTCACTCTCACTCAGTGTCTTTGCCATCTGGAGCACAGAACACGACTGGTCGTCTAATGCCCCTGCTCCGCCTCCGCCTCCGCCTCCGCCTCCGCCTCCCCCTCCGCCTCCCCCTCCGCCTCCCCCTCCTCCTCTCCGGAAGCCCTCCCCGAGACCCAGCGGGGCACCGGGATTCGCTGCTGGGATCCTGACCTCAGCCAGGTCCGGGTAAACAGGGCGAGGTTTGGGGAAGGGGACTTCTGCAACCATCTCCAGTGCTCCCTTAGGAAGAGGAGGAGGGGGGAAGTCGGGAGGGGGTCGATTCAGTGTGCTTCCTACTGTTCCGGCGACACCTCCACCCTGTGCCCCCGCCACACAAGCGCCTCCATCGTCTTCTGAGGAGCCCTCCTCACTAATTGCACGGACCGGGTGTCCTGCCATGTGTCTGCGTGGGTGATGGGGCCCTGAGGCCGCACAGGAGGGTTTGGTTCGAGCTCCAGCTGAGGGAGGAGGGGCTTTAGCTGCCTGGGGGTTTGTGGAGGTAGGAGATGGGAGAAGCTCAGGTGAGAGAGCAGCTGCCGACTGGTTGGGAACGCCCTCCAGGATGTAGTAGGCGGGGTTATTGTAACTGTTCTTGCTGATGGATGGATCACCATCTGATGCATCTTGCTTAGGTCTTCAGTACAGAAAGCAACAGAACAAATGGTTGATTTTTTTATTGTTTAATGTGTCACGGTGTGAACTTTTAGCTGTTGAACTTTCCATATCAAACGTGTGTCTGTAAAATCTGAAGGTGTGTTTGCTGATCAGTGTGTGTGATGTACATGAATGTGCCTGTACCTTGCAGCAGTTTCCTCTTTGCTGTTCCTTTCTCCCTCCTCACTGACCTTGCCCAGCTCTCCTAAATGTTTACGAACCACAGATGGCCTTCAGGGTGGACACAACAGAACAAGTTAAAGTTGGCAAGTGAGAGAAAATACTGAATACCAAGAAAACAAAGGTGTACAATGTGTACAGGCCTACTTTTCCTCAAAATATTTATTTTTAATCTTATTTTTCATCAGCACGTCTGATGGAGCTTCTTCGGCACAGAGCCAGGGTGGAGAAATTTCACCAGGGAGTGTGAGATCTTTTTTTTTTTTTTTACTAAGGGCAAACCTTCCTCACTACAATATGATAAATATTTTTAATTACATTATTATAGTATTTCTTTGTATTAAACAGTACACAGTTTGACAGAAGTTTAGGAGAAAAGAGAAAAAAAATGCAATATATTTTAACACATGGATGCATGTTTTCAAAAATAGTTATGTCATCCCATCTGAATATAAGCCATACTGTACTCCATCAAAATACAAGCTCTAAACTGGCCCACAAAAATTTTTCATTTTACCTTGGATTATGGGTGTCTCCAATATAATGTACACATACACAGAGAAGGTAAATATAGAATTTTCTCCTCTGAAGAATGTAATGAAACATTCAGCTTTTTGCATTTTACTATGAAGCTACATAAACTTTTTAATTATAAAGAGCAGAGTGTACTCACTTCACATATTCATGTCCCACTCTGGACACCATCATGGATTTCCCTTTAGGTCCACCTGTCTCATCCTTGTCCACACTGATCCACTCTGAAACACAACAATAAAAATTGTTTCCCAAACTTCACCATTTGGACAATTCATGTGTACAAATTCTTAAAGCTTAAAAAGGGTTAAAAAACTGTACTGTGTTTAAATGGAACTAGCGTTTCTCTCCACTCAAGCCACACAGTACACCAGACTATCACCACACAGTTAGGTCTACAGTGCATTACCGTAGAGTCTCTCCCTGGTTCCCATTCTTTCAGAGGGGACTCTGACCCTCATGGACCCCCTGATATTTCCTGTTTCCTCGCCACGGTGGGACAGGTAGGTGTGGAACTGCTGTGCTGTGCTGCCAATCATTGACTTCAGAGCCAACACGCACTCTCCTAGCAGGGGAAAAAACACACATGGTTGTTGTCAGACTAAAAGAAACAAATAATTGGATAGCCACACGACAAACAGTAACACGCTCTTTATACCGTAGGACTCATATCCATCCAGTGATTTCACTGTTAGCAGCAGATGTTGGTCCTGAAGATACTCGATCTCTGAGAGAAGAGGTTTTAGCGTTGTTAGCTGTTTGTTGGACCAGCCCACACGCAGGAAGTTGACATTGTCGCTGCTCTGACTGTCGTTCTCATAACTCTTCTTAAACTCTACAGATGAGAAACAGAGAGAGAAATGCAGGGCAGAGGGGATGGGGGAGAGGACAAAGGGAACGAGGTGGGAAGGAGAGGAGGAGGAGAGAAGGAAGAAGAGGAGGGAGATGTTTCTATTGCATTTCATTCAAAAGTATATGGTGGACAGGAGGTGGGGATGCAGCATGGGTCAAAAATGGAGACTAGTTTAAAGGTATACTGACTGCCTGAGATAGGGAGGGAGGGAGGAGGATATGAAAAGAAGAAACAGATATAATTTTATTACATCCACTTGGTGTTACAGAAACCCTGTCTGTGCTGTAACTCCTGGTGGATTTCTGACTGTGGAAAAGCCCTAAATGTGTGAATGAGTCACTGCAAAAGGTGCAGACATGTTCATCGCACCTTCCAGACAAGTGGAGTAGAATTCAATGAAGAACTTGGTTCTGCTCGCTGTCTTCACTATGGCCTCGATGCTCTCAAACTCGATGTAGGCCTGCTCTGAAGACTTTGGCAGACCTACAAAGAAACAGTTGGAGTGTGAGTGGGTGGCATCGAATACCATGTACAAAGCATAAATATAGAATTAGTCATTTACTTGTAAATGTTTGCTCAGTGGAAAGAAAATGCAGAAAAATGAGCGAGCTCTTCATAGCAAGTAGAAACAGACATGAACTTTAATAGCATACAAATCCCAATCTTGTGAAAACATAAGCTGTGATGCAACTGCAACACTGGGCCAAAATGAGTAACAGGCTGCCATATATATATTTTCCCTCTGTTCAGCTTAACTCATTGCTTATTTCTGGTCTCAGTTCAGTGGTGAGTCATCAACCAGACTACAGGAGCATATCACTGTGCAGATTTCAGCTGAAAACGAAACAAATCATCAAGTTCTGAAAGCCAATATGCTACAGACCATCTGTGCATTTTCCATGCACAGAGTCCACTCTATTTTGAAACTCAGCCATTATGGCTTGATTGTCTACCTGCAGCCTAAAAAAAGGAGGACAGAACAAAGAGAGACACACAAAGTGAGACCACAAGGCAGAGCGATTGACAGGTAGAAGAATGAAAGGTAACAAAGAAAATTAAATATATACTTTCTGAAGAGCTCAAGTTAATTCACTTGTACCTTTCTTGGAGACAAACTGGGAGGTCACCCCCACCTCAAATGTAGCGAAGACAGGGGAGTGATCACTGGTCACTATATCATCTGTACAGCCTGATAAACAAAAGAGCCTGTAATTTAGTCTCCTTGTTGATCAATCATATTTATTGCAGTATAAGCCATATATAGATGTTTAAAATGTTTTAGGTTAAATTAACCACTTTACTCAGTTGACACTTGTTACACTGAATTGAAACAAATGTGTGTTGAATAAGTTTTCTGCCGATGCTCTCACCATAGGAGTTGCAGACGATGTGTGTTTCTGGATACGACTTCCACAAGATCCTGTCACACCAGGATGGGACATTCGTCCTCATCTAGAACAGACAGAAAAGTAGAGGAACACACAGCAGGATAATCAGGATGACCAACAAAGAGAGAAATTAAAGTGGTTAAGTATTCGTCAGAAATGGCTGGGACTAAGTCTGTGATGTTGGTTAAGTTAATAAACATACCCCTGTGGCCTTTTGCTTCTGCCATACATATGTGTCCCTTGAGCCACGTTCATAACGGTAGGTGGGCGGGAACGAGATCTCTTCCTCCGCTGCGAGCAAGAAGATACACATTATCTTGTTACAATTTGTTGCAGTTAAGTGTAAAGGCACAAAGCCTAGCATTTTATAGCATCAATAAATCTAACTAACACATTCAGTTGCGATATGAGTATAATCATTAAAACAAAAGGCAGCTTCTCTCTTCCTCTTTGCATTGGGTGATCTGACGTCAGCTGAATTTGTGCCACAGACAGAACGCTGACTAGTCACATCCTGTGTTAATGCTTACTTTTGAGAAAAAACAGCATGAACACTACAAGTGAGATGAGACAGAGAGACAGAGTCTTATTTTTGACCGCTGCTAAAAAAAAAGAAAGACAAAAAGAAATCCTGCTCTCACTCAGGAATATTTTCTTGTACACAACAAGAGATAGTAAACCAGTACTGGCTCAGGCTTACTAACCAAAGCGTAGGAAGACTTTGTTCTTCTCCCTCTCCAGGTTGAGCTGGTCCACCTTCAGCAGGGGCTCAAACTCCTTCCTGTTAATGTAGTTTAAGATCTCCTGCACACGCAGACACAAAAGAGGCAGGGTCATAAAATAAGGTTTCATCTAAATTTGCTGCATTTCATCACTGTGTGCATGTCTGATTTTGTGTGTGTTCTCCTTCACCTGTATATCCATATCCAGCCTGTAGTTGAGGTCTCCCAGCCAGAAGAGGTGTGTGAAGCGCAGCGAGATGTCAAAGGAGCTCAGCTGTTTGTCTCCTAGTGACAGCAGCCGCAGGATATCAAGGTAGTTCTGGTTCCGCCTGCAGCGGTCAAAGGTCACATGTATTTTATGTAATAAAGTGCAAACTAGTCACTTCTGTGTGTGTGTGTGTGTGTGTGTGTGTGTGGGCGTGTGAGTTGTTTTCTGACACACTGTAAAAGTATATAATCACAAACCAACAGGAAAGAACATTTCAGTCCCCACAAAGTAAAATTGCAGTGTAAAGGTTTAAAAGTACAAGACCGTGAAATAAAATAGTCAAGACACATGGAAGTGAACTAAAACAAGTGGGACGTCCTCACAGTCATAGCCACAAATAATGTGTTCAGGACTGTGGTACGTACCTGGCAATCTTCTCATTCCCTGATGTCAAGTGACAATTCACAAAACCGAAAGATGTCCCGTTGAACATGAAGGACACACCTACAGCTCCTTTGTTACCTAGGAAACAATCAAAACAAACATACAAGCTAAATACATTACAGTAATTGACAACCATTATTTATAGAAAAAAAAAAAACAGAATATAGTTTTTGTTCTTTTTTTTTGTTTCTTAATTCAAGTCATGTTTTCATCCAGAGATGCAGTAATGAATCATATCAATCATTATTTTTTTTCAAATAAAAAGATTGAAGAGGGAAGACTGAGCACTGTAATTACCCAGTGTGTTGGCGATGCCCGTCTTGACACTGGACATTCCCACGTGGCTGATTCGATTCTCATGTTCAGGTTTCACCAAGACAGCAATCTTAATGTTCCACAGAGTCTGCACTGCGATCTACAAACAAGGACAATAGACAGTGAGGAGCCTATACTCATAATTACTGCACCATCTCTGTACAAAAATAGCTGTGTCATCTTCAGTTTTAGCTTCTAAAACATATCACCTCCACTTTTTCTTGTTACCTCCTGCGTGACTTAAACGGATTTGGTAGGTGTGAGCAAGCACAAGTAACACCAGTTTAATCAATGGATGTGACATTCAGCATGATGGCCTGCTTTCCTCACCGGTTTATACTCCAGTTCTGTCTGCTCTTTCAACATGCAGCGCAGTGACTCCACCCACTCCCGCTCACACACTGAGTTTTCTTGGGTTCCAAACACATAAAGGTCATGAGGAATGGTGACCGTCATCTCGTCCAGAGTCTTCCCAAGGCCGCGACACAACACCCACGAGGCCACAGACTTAGGCGAAGGCACTGAGCCTAAACAACCAGACCAAAGATCAAAATGCTACATTCTCATCAAAAATATTAATGTCATGACCTGGAAATACTTACTGTTACTTTTCAGTGCAACATATTACAATATATGATAGATCAGTATGTTCTGCTATTAACCCAAGTTATATTAGATAATGTGTGCATGTGTGCATGTGTGTGTGTGTGTCTAACCCATATTCCAGATGCCTATGAAGATGGAAATCATGTCTGGCTCATCCTGGTTGGAATGTTTGTTCTTCATCAGCTGCAGCAGCTGGCAAAACGCCTCCCGCTTCTGAAACACACACACACACACAAATCAGTGAGTGGAAGTTGCCACAAAAGGCACCCTGTTTTTAAGCAGCAGCACTTAAAGGTTACCTATCAATCAGTGTGTGTATATGTGCTTTCATTAAATCTTTAAACATTTTGATGTATGTGAGCTTAGATAACACTCGTTGATATTTTCCATCAAGTTTTCTTCCCAAAATAGAAATATCTAAAGAGAAAAAGCAGTGCAGAGATGTATGTGACTCACATTATAGTAAGAGTCGCAGTGGAAGCTGAATTCATAGAGGACACATGTATACGGGTCTGTGCCAAAAAGCTTGGCCCCTTTCAGTGTCCTTAGTCTAATTCTGAATATATAAATAAATAAGGTAAATGTGAGAGTATTTCCTTGTCCATTTGAATATGAATGTGTATACCACTGTAATGTCTGCTGGTAGGTATTTGCATATTCCAATGAAAGATTGTGCCTTCTTAGATTTAGAAAAGAGAGCGAGAGAGAGCGAGAGAGAGAGAGAGAGAGGCCCCTTTCAGTGTCCTTAGTCTAATTCTGAATATATAAATAAATAAGGTAAATGTGAGAGTATTTCCTTGTCCATTTGAATATGAATGTGTATACCACTGTAATGTCTGCTGGTAGGTATTTGCATATTCCAATGAAAGATTGTGCCTTCTTAGATTTAGAAAAGAGAGCGAGAGAGAGCGAGAGAGAGAGAGAG